CAATAACCTACTTATTAATTGCCTGAGAAGCTAAAGGCAATGCTTGCCAAGCATGAAGTACTGGAAGACCATGACAAATTGGAATAACTGTAGTCTCCAAGTATCCTACGTCCACAACTAATGCAGTATTAATTGCCAACGGCGCTAAGCTGACCAAATGTGATGGAACAATAAGTAAAGAGTATATTTCATAGTGACTGAAAAGCACTTTTGCTAGTGTTTCTCGAAATATTGTTGGGCATAACAGAGATTCTACAATTATCACAGGTTTATCTTTTGGGCTCAATAGGACATACCTGAAAGTTATTTAAAATTATAATAATTAGATACGTCTGATATATTTGTACTATTTACTTAAAAAAAATCATATGCAAAAACTCCACCAGTAAGTCATACAAATCGTCTCCATTCACATATGAATAAATTTCTCTTGTTAGATTTGAACCTTTCAATGTAACTTCTGATCGAATTATATGCCTCGGTGCGAATTCTCCACTGAATCCCAATCTAAAAATTAGAATCAAGTTTTACAAATTCACATTTCCTATTATCTGTAGTACTCACTTTGTAAATGCAGCTCCAAGATCCATAACGACCGTAAGTTTTTCAGTTCCAATTCCTTCGTAAAGGGGCATTTTATTAATAAGTATATGTTGCTATACGTGCAATGTATATCCGATTTATTATATGGAAACAATCAATTCCCATAGAACGTGTACGGGTTAGAGTTCCTTAATTCTAGGAAAATATTAATAAATGATCTTGCATGAACACTACATACTTTATTCTACTTTAAGCAAATTATCAAACGGAAAAGAAATAGGATAATAGGGCGAAACATGGGTGAAACTATATGTAGACCTGTGTAGACCACAGATTAAAGAAATATACACTGCGATACACTGTCAGAGACTAACGGAAACCATTGCCACTCAACAAGCCCGCGACAACGAACTTCATAGAAGTTACATGTTGTATGATCATAGATATAGCACGATCCACCGCACTGCTGCACATTCATATCGGATTGTTGCAGAACGTGCAACAATAGTGCAGCCCATGAAGCCAAAAAGATTATAAGAAACCTTACATAGCTTTGTTTTATATTACAGCAGTAAATTCCACAAATATACTGCTGAGCAGATCGTTCTGGTGGCAAACTGGCTTTCTTTTGCACAACCATTACGAATTCTCCCTTTCATAATCTAATAAAATCGTTAAAATAAATTTATCCGTAACCATGAGTAATAATTAAATCGATCATAGAAAAAGGTGATCGTAATCGTCAGAGTAATAACTCCTTCGATAGCGCACCTAGCGGAACTTTGTAATACATTACTGTCGGTCATAACCTTTGTTTCCCTTTTTAAAAGAAAAGAAGTTTTCAAGGAAATTACGCAATTACCTTAAAGCAACTACCTTAAGTAAGAATGTAGTAATTAAAGTGTAACATATGTACCCGTGTGTACTCAATGTTAATATTTTTTTTATCTAGAATCATGGAAAAAATGACGAATAAGGGACTGCCGGGACAGCTTATTTATATTGTAGTTTTTGTCAGTCTTACATTAATTAATGCTGTAAATTCAGAGCAAGAACCAAAGGAGGATTTAACTACGCTTAGTATTTTAGTAAGCTTTTAAATAATAATTCGGCAATGTTTGTCTGAATCACAATGTTTTAGAAAACTGATACAACAAAGACTAGGGAAGAAAATATGGGATTCCTGCATGGATTTGTTGCTTCGATATCAGTTATTTTGGTATCAGAATTAGGTGATAAAACGTTTTTTATTGCAGCCATTATGGCTATGAAACATCCCAGACTAACAGTTTTTACTGGGGCCATGACTGCGCTGGCTATAATGACTGTTTTATCAGGTAAATAGTATTTACGAAGCGATTAATGTATTCCTTTAAAGCAATAATAATAATATAATGCTTTTACTACTGATGTTTTTTATCATAGCTTTGTTTGGATGGGTGGCTAAACTAATTCCAAGAGTGTATACCTTTTACATAAGCACAGCATTATTTGCTATTTTTGGTTTGAAGATGTTAAAAGAAGCTTATCACATGTCAGGATCAGAAGCACAGGAAGAACTGGAAGAGGTACAAATGGATTTACGACGAAGAGATGAAGAAGTAATTTATATATGATCTCTCTGAACAGTCAACAATGTAATTTAGTTGTAATTCTAGTTGGAAAGAGAATCATTGTCAGATATAGAAAGTAGAACACCAAAACATCAAAAAGGTTTAGCTGCATTTCTAGCTGTGTCACGTATATTTCTTCAAGCACTGACGTTAACTTTTCTGGCTGAATGGGGAGACCGATCTCAGCTGACAACAGTTTTATTAAGCGCAACGGAAGTAAGTAGCTGTACTTGTTTCTCCACAATCGCGATTAAATATTATCGGCTACCATTCGTCTAAACATTGAAAATATAGAACATAATGATATGTATTTTAAATGTGTAGGTTGGGATTTATGTTAATTTTATGCAAATAGTACATTTTATAGGTGGTTATTAGTTCGTACTTGTTTGTGTGGTGCGACGCGTCGTATGTTCTCTATTACAATGCAATCGTTACTTCAGGTTTTAGCAGAATCAATCGTCAAAAACGTTTTTATTATTGTCTTGCTTATAATGGGTAAATATAATTTATTTGCAGGATGTATTCGGGGTTATTACTGGAGGCATATTAGGGCA